TGATATGGAAAATGCCAGAAATTCCTTGAAATTCACACGCTGCACTGTTATGGTTCGACTCCTGTTGGGTGCGAGGTCGTAACTGCACTCCATTCTTGATGAAAACATCTTTTAATAAAGGAAGGTTATGTGAAATTCAATGGAGAACATCAGCTCGACTTATATCATTGTAGGAAAAATCAACTACCAGTCCTTCATCATCTTAAACGAAATAGGGTGAACACAATTCATATATCTTATTTAATGATAGTCTCAAGAAACTACTCACTCACGAAAAAAATTGGCATTTCTCTGCCTTCCCCCCCAATTTAATACAATTTCTCGCCTTCTCCATTCTTTGCCGTCTATACAACAGCCCGTGACTTAATGAACCACCGATGTCCAGACCAAGAAGAGGTGACGGAGCGGGTCGTCCAACTTTGCGATGGGGAATCCTCCTGTTCCGTCATGCCAGACACGCCCGGGATTCGGCCAAATCGGTTGCAGACGTGCGGCAAGATGCACCTTTCGCTAACCTACTTTTGTGGTAAGACAACGAATCCTGGTTCTTTTTATTGTTGCCATTGTCATTGCTGCTAATGCCAAAAATTGGAGGGATTAATTAGGCTTGACAACCAAGACTGTATTATCAACGGCAGATGACTTTTGTACTCCAAACCCTGATCAGCCTCGTCTGGACTGAAGAAGAGGTGCTGACAGCCTCGGCATTTTTCTCATTTATTTACTTTTGAAAAGAAGTGAGATTTGGTTGGTTGTGACTTTCGGAGAACATGTGTTTGGAGGGAACAAACATTTCATTGTGTGATGTTGCAGACTGCTAGACTCCAATTTTCCATTTTCCAATTTGCCATTTTTCCTTGCCTGAACATGAGTCGAACTGAACCGTTTCCAGTGATGCAATGAATTTGCGTATATTCGACTTCTTTTACGTCCTTCCTGCTCAGCTACTCTGCCTCAGCGAGCAAGAGGATGAGGCTTGATTAGGCTTGAAGCTTGTTTTGATCCTCACATCGTATTCAGATAAAAAGCATTGCGTTCACACAGCAACGTGATCACATGCGGTAACATTGCAGGATCAAAGGTAGACGTATTTTAAGAGAGAATGCAGCTTTTCGGTCACAATTGTATCCGTTTCATGCGTCGTCTATAGCCACTTAACCCAACTTTTCAGCAAACATTTACGCAAAGCATAGAATATATCCAACCAATTCATGAGATACCGCGATAAGTGGATCAAGTTGGAATATGAGAAATAGGCAGATTTGCTGCCAGCCTCCTTTCTTGTCTTCATGTTTTGATGAATTATCGTAAAGCATGGTGTCCTCTGACCATATCCGTCACATGATGGATAAAAGTCCAGCACGGATTTATCGGAGTCGCAGGTCGGTGAGTCGAGGCAGTTGACGCACAATCGAACAGTCACATTTGCACGGAAACCCAATTTACGAATCTCTTAAAAGCGACTTTTTAAACGAGATGAAAT